ATAGTAGTTAAGGCCACTTAATATAAAGTGGGACCAAATAAATAAATAAGAATGCAATATAATAGACTTTGAAAGGAATCTGGTTGATTCACTCCTCTTGCTTTTCTTAATGGAGAAAACGCTCTCCATGTGGATGATGGAATTCTGAGGATGAATGAGTCTATATCCAGCATGACAAGATCTGCTGCTCGAATCCTTTCATCCTTTCAGCTCTTAGTAGCTGCCCTGCCTTGATCTTCCTTCCTTGGCGTAGTGGAACCTAGCAACAGCCAGTGTGTTCACATTTCACACAATTCATGCCAATTCGCATCCGTCTACTATTCTAATCTGAGATTTTTTTGTCTTGTTTTGTTTTTAACATTAACACTTGTATACAAAATAATTATTGAAACGCAATAAATACCAAAGCAATCTTGGCTGCTTGGGTGTAAAACAGTAAAATATGATACGATTCTATATTATGCAGTGATTGGCAAAAAAAAAAAAAGTCACATGTTGACCCTTTGTGACAACAAGAAAAAGTATTGGGACACATAATCCATGCCTCAGAATGTTGAAAGTATTAGCACATGGCATTCTATAAAAATCTTCCGTTTTGTGAGGTGTAAACATCAAACATGTTGCCAAGTCTCTAAGAATGTACACCAATAATCATTCAAAAGCACTGCAGAGCTTTTGTCCAGCTGGGAATATCTCTGATAACACCTTTTGCATTTTATAATGGGTTAAATGTTTTAATATTCATCACTGATTCAGGTGCAATTAAAGGGAAATTACTATTACAAATCCTTTGCTTTTCTTCTGCTCAAATACAATGCCACAGCACCATCCACAGAAATGCAAGATCTCTTGTCAAACTATTTATTTATTTATTTATTTTGTCCTGAAAACATGAAAATGACAGCAGAATGGAAAGTCAGCTAATTGCATTTTAAATGTGCGCTCTTGAAAGGCTGCACTTGAAGCAGAAGTTTGCTTAATGCTTTTTAAAATAAGAAACACAAGCACTGCACTTCACAGCTCTCTGCACTTGATTTCATGTCCAGCGGTTTATTTATGCGTTTATTTATTTACTTTCATATTTGTATGAAGTACTCTCCTCAAAACAAGATCAATACAGCCCAATATGATGCCGGATCCTCTCTCTTCCTGTCTCTCTGTGCTTTACAGAGTAAACTAGATCCTTTGAATGGAAAGGCTCATGAAACAGCCGGAATAAACAAGAGTTTTACCAGCATAGCATTGTTTTTGTAGTGGTAATGAGGATGTGCTCTTTTAAAAGGCTTCAACATTAATGCATTCAGTGAGATTACACTATTAACTCACCTTATGCATCAAACACCTTAATGTGGTTGCATATACAGAAAAAAACTGGACTTTTTCTCTCCTTTTTAAAAAAGAATGAAATTTAAATACATTACACTTTATAAATGCTACGAGTATGAAAGGTCACACTGGAAAACTTTTCACAAATGACCTGTAATAATTTCTTGCCCTGAATGCACATTTGTCATGTTTCCTCCAGCACTTTAGAGACACAGGCCGAGGCTCAGCACAATCAGAGAGATTTAAAGCCATCATCGAAAAACACTCCATCCTTTGATTGACTCTCTTCCACTGCCCACACATGTAAACGCTCACCGACACACTTAGAAATGGCCTTTTATCTGGGTTGTTCAAGTGCATATGGGAGTATTAAAAGTAGAAGGTGAGGTGGAAACAGTCAGGCCTAAAGGAATGGTCCCTAAAGGAATAGTTTAGGGACCATTAACGCTCTATGTATAGAAATGTAGGTGGAAAAATATGATCCAGTTACCATATCTTACTTCAAGAAGCATTTTAGCTGTGGCTGTGTTGATTCTTTTCATATGTGCTAATTGGTGGGGACCAACAGGGAGACCTCAGAGTAACTTTTATGAAGGTAAATGCATTGTGTTGCTTTCTTGAGCATCAGTGAATTTTTTCACCCTTTGTAATAGTTGTGTATGAGTCCCTCAGTTGCTTTCAGTGTGGAAAAGATGGATCTGCTGGAAAGGGTTCAAATATGCAGAAGATAATGAAAAAACAAAAAAACAATGTATGTGCAGAACCTGGAGGACTTTTTTGAACAGAAGAAAGTTGAACTGCTCAGGACAACTGAGGGACTCACGAACAACTATCATAAAAAAAACAAAAAAACATTTGTGGATCATCCAGGTAATTACACATACCCCCGGTTTCACAAACAAGGCTTAAGCCTAGTCCCAGACTAAAGTGTAAGTCTGAGCCGTTTTAACTGAAAGAAACTTGCACTGACTGATCTTAAAATATATCAGTGCCTTTGTTTTGTCTCAAGATGCATACCAATAATGTTTTTTTCTAAGGCATGTTAATAAAATTACTTAAATGTCCTAATTGAAAAATGGCGTAATCCTGGTTTAGTCTAAGCCCTGTCTGTGAAACCGGGCCCAAGACATTTTTAAAAATATCTATCGGAGCATCTTGAGGATGAGTAAATGAGTATTTTCTGGTGATTAAGCGCATCATTTGTTATGCATGATCAGATCAATTACAGTAAACTACAGTAAAAGCACCTAATTTAGTGAACTAAAGAAGCACCCTAAACAGACATAAGTGAAGTACATAACAGGTTATCCGATCCGTTTCCAAAAATAATGTCCTGATCTGTGTTCTCATCTGCATTGATTAAGCTGCTGATTTAGTGAGTGCATGACTGCGTGTGTCGCTCTGAGAATGCAAAACGCTCTCCATCAGGGTTGGCCCCGCTGAATCACACACTTCAGGGTTTAC